TTTATAAAAGCCGGGAACTGGGCCCGGCGTCCCTTACAAAATGACGTGGGGCCCTCAGTGGGCGAGGCATCACCGGCCTAACACATAGAGGACACCAGTAGATTTAACCCCACTGTCAATTTCACAGCCCCAACAGCTCAAAGAGTGAATGAAGATTTCCACCACAATCTAGATTATCCCCGAGGAACGAAAACACTAAGGAAATCTAAAACTCTTCACTAAAAACACTAATTCCCCTATCCTGAAATCTCGACGAAAATTACCAATCCTAATTAGTAATCATAATTCCACCAATCATAAAAGAAAACATACGCAAAAAGGCAATCAAAGGAACAGAGGAAAACCAAAGGTCAGCGCTGCTTGATGATGTCCATTATTCATCCAAGGTTACTACCAACCCCCTGCTAATCGGCTCTGCCACCCGCACCGCAGGGGTCTGTGCCCACAGGCCCCCAATCTGCAGACAGAGACCCCGCAAAACCCACCCACCTCCTCGCGATTCAAAGCAGATAGCACCTCCCCACACTCCTCATTCAGAAACACCAACTCCCACCACGATGCTGTTTTTGCTGACCAGGAGATTACCCCACCTCCCCCGCTGCAGGGGCCTCTTCTCTCTCTCTGCCTACGGTTTACCGGGCAGTTTTGTTTGTGACGATATATATATATATATTACTAATCTGCCGAAGATATCCAAATATCGTCATCTTTAGTGCGGTAACAGAAGGGGCGGATAAATGTATAGCAGTGGTGAAGGAGGACGGAGAGAAGGGGAGAAGGAGGAAGAAAAGGGATAGAAGGAGAACAAGAAGAAGAAGAAAAAAAAAGAAAAAGAAGAAGACGAGGAAGGAGGAAAAGGGAGAGGAGAAAATATCAAAAGGACGAAAAAATACGGAAAAACCTTTTAATGGTTCGCCCGTTATAAAGATAATCGCGACTGCTGGGGCTTTCCTCTGCTGCGACATCGACTTGAGGATCATGGCGTGTACCCTCGCCTATCCTCTTGCGATGGTTGGCGCGGGATCCCGTGGAGGACCAGTTGGTGAGTCGTTTGTAGGTGAGGGGGGCGGTGTTGCACGTCGCCGATAATCAACATCGGCACCTTTTATCCTGTAGGTTCCAAGGTAGGCGGTCGCGGTCTTGTTCTGGTGTTGCTTTCCTTTCCACTCCCCAGCAAAGCGATCCGTTTGTCATATGAGGTGTCGCGGCTTAGTAAGGGGGCTATGTGCTCTCTGCCGTCCGGATGGCGCATTGGAAATTAGGCGCAGGTGGGCTCGGTCGTGCCCGTCACTTACCGTATGCAAGTGTGATGTATTTGCCGATGGCGTCGAAAGGTTGGGTAGTCATCCGCCCAACTGTAGGAATGCGCATTTGTGTCTGTCGTGCCCCCATGCTATGGCTTTGGTATGCTGCACTTCACAACGGATCGTGTTCA